TGCATGCCTTGTGCCGATCAAATCGGCCGCGTTGCCTGGGGACTCGCCTTGGCTCAGCGCTTCCCAGCGGAGAGGTGACGGTGGTTTCCCTTGCTGCATCCCCTTTGCCGGGTTGCTGCGCTGTGGGAACCACCGCTTGAGGCTTTGTTTGGCTGCTGGCTGGACTTTCTGCCTTTGGCTCGGAGGGGCTCAGAAGTCGAACATACCTGTGCTGTGAAAATCCCTTATTTTGGCTGCTGATCCTTTATTTTCAAATCTGTAAGTTGACAGCTATATATCTGGGTGGCTCCTGTTGGACTAGATGGGCCATTGGCCCGATCCAGCAAAACTATGCTTATGTTTATTATTATTGTTATTGTTATTATTGTTATTATTTATGCATTTTGCCCAACCAGGCAGATAATGTTTTATCTGATGTTCGTTTCCAATCCATTGTATTTTGTTGGATATTGTGGTTTCATGACAACATTTCAATTGTGGAAAACTGCCTTGAGTGATGTGTATGCATTTGAAGACCTACTTAAATTCATTTTTTTTCTGCCACTGTTCTCTCATCCTTTCCTGGCTTGATTATTTCCTGTGTTTCATTTTACTTCTTTGTCACCGTCATTTACTCCATTCTGCTCTCAAATCCGCTGCCCATTTGTTTTCATTTTCCTTTAATCTCCTTTAACTCCACATTTCTCTTTTGCTACAATCCCTTCAGTGGTTTCTGTTTCCATATTGGATCCAAGTGCAGTCAATACTTCCTGTTTTTAAGTAACTCTGCACTAGAATTGAACTGGTTATGCAACTTGAGTATATACCACAGATCAGGAGAAATACCACAAGGGCCAAGAGGACACCATCAGCTGCGAAAAAGGCAATTTTGATGCTGGGGATCATTAGGAAAGCAACTGACAACAAAACTGCCAATATCATACTAGCTATAATGTCCTGTGATGAAGGCAGTATGTATGCTTCTGACTACCACTAAATCACAGGTGGGGAGAATACTGTTTTGCTCATATCCTCCTTTTTTAGTTTCCTACAGGCATCTTGTCAGCCACTGTGAGAACAGAATGCTGGACTAGACGGACCCTTGGCCTGATCTCACAGGCTTTTCTTATGGCATTTTTAATTAAATTGTTTGCCTGTTATGAAAAACATCCACATTCTCTTTTGGCAACTTTATTCCACATTATCAAAAAACAGATTATGTGAACATTAGAGAATAGCAGTTAAGAGAGAGGGCAGGAAGTACTATCGTCACTCTGAATTGGCTATGTAACATAATCACACGGCCAGATCTGATTGGCTGCATTGTGTTGATATACCAGCATGCTAGTAGCATTAAAAAAATAAAAAAAAAATAGTATGAAAGCTAGGTCTGAGAGGCATAAAACATGGCCCCCCAATGCACAAAATCTGGGCACGAGCTTTTCAGATGATATTTTGGGTCCCCTGAAAACCCCTTTTATGTCAGGATGTCCACTTTGTGAACACTTGATGAAACCCTACTCTTACTTCTGTACATAGAATCGTAGAATTGTAGAGTTGGAAGGGACCATGAGGGTCATCTAATCCAACCCCATATTTTGCCCAATTCAAATCATTCCATCTTTCGCATTTCACTTTCTTTCCTTTTCATCAAGAAAATAACATAAGCAAAGTCATCTTTTTTTGACAAACCCTTCGATAACTCCCTCATGCCTCCTTTCCCTTTCTCTGCAACTCACTGCACTCCCAATAAACACAAAGTATTTGAAATATTTTCATTCCCGCCCCCCTTTTGCAATATTGTTTTCAAATTATATGCCTCTCTGAGGCTGTGGAGAGATGGCAGGATAGCAAGCTAAAGAAAATACAGGAGAAGACAGGCATGGAGGTTGGGTTTTGGGGTTTTGTTATTTTTTAGCCACAAAGCATTCTTATTTTGAGACAAGCTTTCTCCCAGTTTTGCCATTTCCCCAACAGGCATATGTTTTAGCAGACAGCCAGTCTTGCTTTATTTCTAAGGAAGGGAAGTCCCCCCGCCCCGCTTTTTACAAAAAAATTTAAGTGCTGCATGAATATTCATAAATAGTTTTATCATTCATCATTATTTTGTTGTTGTTGTTTTTTTAAAAAATCCACAGCTCTGGAGATCAGTGTGTGTGTGTAAAGAGTGTTCGTTTCATCAGAGGATATCTTCAAATATCATAAGGGCTGTTACGTGGAAGAGGGAGCATGCTTGTTTTCTCCTGCTCTGGAGGGTGGGACTCGAACCAATGGCTTCAAGTTACAAGAAATGAGATCCCAACTAAACCTCAGGAAGAACTTTCTGACAGTATGAGCTGTTCGACAGTGGAACAGATTCCCAGGAGATGTGGTGGACTCTCCTTCCTTGGAGGCTTTTAAGCAGAGGTTGGGTGACCATCTGTCATGGATGCTTTAGCTGAGATCCTTGCATTTCAGGGGGGTTGGACTAGATGACCCTTGGATCCCTTCCAACTCTAAGATTCTATGATTCTAAGAGGGCATCAACCAATAGGTAGAACCTCAAGAGGCAGGGCTTCCCTGTTTGAATTTCACTACAGCAGCCAAAAACTAGCACAGTCATTTTTAAACTAGAATGAAGCAGCAACTACACAGAGGCCTTTAGAGCTGGCACACACTGATGACATCATTAGAATGTGCTGCATGTGGGATGTGAAACACAAGAGCAGTCAAGTACAACATTCCTAGAGTGAACATGTTTACACATGGGGAGGAATGTTTGTCCAGCCAGCAGGTAAACTTCCTGTTTCCTTCTGGGCTGGGACAGACTTCCTCTGCATGTGACTAGAGGTGGGCATGGCCTCACCTGTGCAGGTAATGACAAAAGCACAGGGCAGGGCAGCCATCTCTGTCTCTTTGACTACTTTCATCAAAGAAGCAACATCTGCTTAGCCAAAGATGCTCCCTTGGCCTCCAGCCAAAAGAGGACAAAGGGACTGTCTCCTTATGAGATAGTTTCCAGGTGTATGTTACTTTTCTAAGCTAAGTCTGCCTTCTGGGATCCGATTGTGAACAGAATGTGGGTAAACTCTTTTTATATTTTTATCGAAGACTGTGTTGTGTCTTATCTTTTATAAGGGAATAATGGAAAAATACCAGAACAGTTATTATAGAGGCTTTAGCGAGCCTGACCAAAGGCATCCGCTGTGAGTTTAAAAGGGGGAATGTTACTCTGCAAAATTGTGAACTTGCTAGCACAAGTTGGAAAGGCTATAATCAAACAATATATCCTCTCCTGCATCCCTGAACATCCCCACACTGCATTAGAGGCTTTCCATCAAGGACTGGAAGCTAAACCTTTGAGCTCCCAAGGAGAACCCACTGCCAACACCTGCCCTAGACTCTCCCATTAAATAAAACCCTCCCTCCCTACAGAACTCCTTTGCAATGGTGGTTTTGCTGCCATAATTGTTTGCTGCAGTGGCCCTGATGGAATATGCATTGCGGGCAATTTAAATAGTGGTTGGACACTGCCTCTCCTGAGCGTTGCTCAAAATGTGTCACTGTCCACCACCAAGTAAGCTCAAGAGTGACCACGGAAAGAGGAGGAGGCCTAACAGACTTTGCCCAGTTCCCTCCTCAGAACTGGAGCTGAATCAGCTTCCAAAATTAACTCGGAGAGCAATTTTGGGTGGAATTTAGTGATAACGTTACACAGCCTTGCAATCCTTCAGGGAAGGAAAACACCCAAAGACTCAGCATCCTAGCTAAGGCTACAGTGCCAGATGCAGAAAGGATGGAAACAATCACAAAGCCCACAAGTTGCCAAGACCAAAATCATCAGAGAGCTAATGTTTAAAGCTTCTCGTGGATTGTTTAGGAAATTCTGTTGCTCAAACGCTGTCTGACATTCCGGGGTCACCAGAAACCTACGTTCTGCCAGCAGAGGCCATAACGACTTAATAAGTTTGGGAAAGGACTTTAGGTTAGTAGTACATCCTCTGTCCTGCATGAAGAAGGTTCCTGGGGTCTCCAGGTACAGCTGAGAAAAGCTCTTGTCTGAAACTCCAGAGCGTGGCTGCCATTCAGAGTAGACAATACTAAATGGACTAGTAGTCTGGCTCCGGATAGAGCAATTTATTGTGTAACACAACACCATGAAGGGTTTGGCTTGTGAAAATGAGCATAGCTTCCTGGCAGAGCATCTGCTTTCCATGCAGAAGGTCTCACAAGGAATCTAAGACCCTACCTGCCTGCGGACTGTCTCGCCAGAGTGGTGCATGCTGTAGGTATCTCCCGCTTGGACTACTGCAATGCGCTCTACGTGGGGCTACCTTTGAAGGTGGCCCGGAAACTGCAATTAATCCAGAATGCGGCAGCTAGATGGTGACTGGGAGTGGCCGCCGGGACCACATAACACCGGTCCTGAGAGATCTGCATTGGCTCCCAGTACATTTCCGAGCACAATTAAAAGTGTTGGTGCTGACCTTTAAAGCCCTAAATGGCCTCGGTCCTGTATACCTGAAGGAGCGTCTCCACCCCATTGTTCAGCCCAGACACTGAGCTCCAGCGCCGAGGGCCTTCTAGCAGTTCCCTCATTGCAAGAAGTGAGGTTACAGGGAACCAGACAGAGGGCCTTCTCAGTAGTGGTGCCCGCCCTGTGGAATGCCCTCCCTTCAGATGTGAAGGAAATAAGCAGCTATCCTATCTTTAAAAGACATCTGAAGGCAGCCCTGTTCAGGGAAGTTTTTAATATTTAACGCTGAATGTTTTTAACACTTGTTTGGGAGCTGCCCAGAGTGGCTGGGGAAACTCAGCCAGATGGGTGGGGTATAAATAAATAAATAAATAAATAAATAAATAATTATCTTCACCATCTCCAGGTTGGGCTGGGAATGCCCCTGGTCTAAAACCCTTGATGTCTGCTTCTGCCTGTCAGTATAGATAACACTGAGCTAGAGGAATCATCAAATCATAGAACTGTAGAGTTAGAAGGAACCCCAGGGGCATCTAGCCCAACCCCCTCAAATGCAGGACTCTTTTTCCCAACATGGGGCTTGAACCCACAACCCTAAGAGTTTCATGCTCTATCGACTGAGCAATCTAAGAGTTGGAGCCTGCTTTTTTAATGTCAATGGTCTGACAGCTTAAGACACCTTCCTATGCTCTTGCATTTGATGGAAAAGCTTTAATGTACCTTGATAACTCTTTGTGGCTTGATTTGAGGCTGTTTTTCTTTGGCAAAGAAGGCCAATTGTTCAGTTCTTAATGCGGTATATAAGAATTTGGTGACATCATGTTCTAGTTCCTTGGAAGAACCAGGGCCAAGCTGTTTTTAGGAGATATGGCCACACAAAGAGGCCCGGCCATTCCGAAGGAAGCTATTTCTTTACTTTATGTTTCATATCTCTAATGTGTCTTCTTGTTCAATTAGACTCAAACATCTTTTGAGCTTCCGCTAAAATTTAAGCAGAAAGGAACATATTTCTGTTCTGGGCATTTGGGGGCCTGGGATAAGAATGGTTTATACAAATTGGCATTCTGTGGAAACTCTTTTATTGGTCTGAAGAGCGGAGGGCCAAAACCACATGACTTTTTAAGATGAATGGGTTGACAGGGCTGCATTTTCTCAGTCTGCTATATCCGAGCTCCAAACTAGTTTGGTAGATTACTTTCAGGACACGGGGAGTCACAAGGGGAGAGCATACCCGAGACTCCTTTGGTGGTCCCAAACTGCAAAGGGTTTAAGGTCATGTTGATGTCAGTTGTATTAGTAGCAGCTGTGCAATGCTGATGACACGCTCTCACTTGCAAGGCATCCCTGATAATATTTGCAAATATGTGATGTGAGGACAACATGAGCACAAGGACCTTAATATCTCTAGGATCCCACATGAACCTGTCTGGGCAACGAGATTGCCCTCAAAGACCTGTTCTGAGCCTTCTTGCTAGCTCAGGAATGGGACACCTCAGGCCTGGGGATGAAATGCACTCCTCCTCTATTTGACACACATACACACACCCCGCCAAGTCCCCCATGACCATCCCATGAAGCTGAACATATAAAAGAAAGTACAGTACTTATTCACGCAGTGCAGAGTTAAACTATGGAACTCAATCTGGATGGCTTAAAAAATAGAATTAAACAAATTCCTGGTTATTGATGGCTACTAGCCACAATGGTTATGCTTGTGTCTCCACATATGGAGGTAATAATAATAATAATAATAATAATAATAATTTATTTGTACCCAAGCCATCTGAATGGGTTGCCCCAGTCACTCTTCCAACATATATAAAAACATAATGAAACACTGAACATTAAAAAGCTTCCCTATAAAGGACTGCTTTCAGATATCTTCTATGGTTGTACAGTTCATCATCTCCTTGACATCTGATGGGAGGGCGTTCCATAGGCCCTCTACCTGGTTCCCTGTAGCTTCACTTTTTTCAATGAGGGAACCACCAGAAGGTTCTCGGAGCTGGACCTCACTGTATACCTTCAGGTATACAGGGCTGAGGCCATTTAGGGCTTTCAAAGGCCAGCACCAACACTTTGAATTGTGCTCGTAAACGTACTTGGAGCCAATGCAGATCTCTCAGGACCCGTGTTACATGGTCCCAGCAGCCGCTCCCAGTCACCAGTCTAGCTGCAGCATTCTGGATTAGTTGTAATGCTTCAGAATGCCCATTGCTGGACACCACAGGGAATTAGAGTGATCTTGTGCTCAAATCCTGCTTCCTGGTTTCCCATGGGCATCTGCTCAGCCACCGTTCATCCTGGAGAAGAGTGACTAGTGGGGTGCCACAGGGTTCTGTCTTGGGCCCGGTCTTATTCAACATCTTTATCAACGACTTGGATGATGGACTCAAGGGCATCCTGATCAAATTTGCAGATGACACCAAACTGGGAGGGTGGCTAACACCCCAGAGGACAGGATCACACTTCAAAACGACCTTGACAGATTAGAGAACTGGGCCAAAACAAACAAGATGAATTTTAACAGGGAGAAATGTAAAGTATTGCACTTGGGCAAAAAAAATGAGAGGCACAAATACAAGATGGGTGACACCTGGCTTGAGAGCAGTACATGTGAAAAGGATCTAGGAGTCTTGGTTGACCACAAACTTGACATGAGCCAACAGTGTGACGCGGCAGCTAAAAAGCCAATGCAATTCTGGGCTGCATCAATAGGAGTATAGCATCTAGATCAAGGGAAGTAATAGTGCCACTGTATTCTGCTCTGGTCAGACCTCACCTGGAGTACTGTGTCCAGTTCTGGGCACCACAGTTCAAGAAGGACATTGACAAACTGGAACGTGTCCAGAGGAGGGCAACCAAAATGGTCAAAGGCCTGGAAACGATGCCTTATGAGGAACGGCTAAGGGAGCTGGGCATGTTTAGCCTGGAGAAGAGGAGGTTAAGGGGTGATATGATAGCCATGTTCAAATATATAAAAGGATGTCACATAGAGGAGGGAGAAAGGTTGTTTTCTGCTGCTCCAGAGAAGCGGACACGGAGCAATGGATCCAAACTACAAGAAAGAAGATTCCACCTAAACATTAGGAAGAACTTCCTGACAGTAAGAGCTGTTCGACAGTGGAATTTGCTGCCAAGGAGTGTGGTGGAGTCTCCTTCTTTGGAGGTCTTTAAGCAGAGGCTTGACAACCATATGTCAGGAGTGCTCTGATGGTGTTTCCTGCTTGGCAGGGGGTTGGACTCGATGGCCCTTGTGGTCTCTTCCAACTCTATGATTCTATGATTCTATGATTCTATGACCGTGAGAACATTGGCCTGATCCAGGAAACCCTTCTTATATTCTTTGGACACCCAGGCTCTTTAGGTCTTTGGAAAGCCGGAGATGTTTCTCCTGCTACATTGCATAACGAAGCTAGGAAGCCTGCACTCTTCCCAGTGCCTGCTATTGTGACTGATTACTGTGCTTATCCTGTGTACATTTTCTGCTTTGACTAGAAGCATCACATATTGTACCTCTTACATTTCATGGCTCCTTGCCCCCACTATGTATCCTCCCCCCGCCCCCGCCTCACTTTGCATCCACTTGTATGCACACACATATCTCTGCCAACTGAGGATCTGATGAAGTGGGCTCTCATCTATGAATGTTTATGCCGCAATAAATCTGGAAGTCTTTAAGGTGCCGTAAGATGCTCTGTTGTTCTTGGGGCTCTAGATGTTATGGCCAGCGCTGTGAATCAGCCCTGGAAAGTAACTGCTACGGTTTCTTCGGTGCAGAAGGTTCCGTGTCCTCTCTGACTTGCCTGCCAGCTGCCGCCCCTCAATGCTTTCGGAAGCAGGAGTCTAGAGGGAGGGAGCTTGCAAGGGTACGGAGGGGAGACTCATCAATGCCATATTAAGCAAGAGAACCGCAGAGTTCAAATTAATGCAATCCTCTTTCGGCCAGTCCCAGTCATATGGGAGCAAGCTTCATCGAGCATTTTAATCAACTCAAAAGGCAATTTGCTCAGCCCTCTGTTTATAACCTTGACAAGCGGGCAGGTTATTTTTAAGCACATTGACAAATGCGGGAAGTGAGTGCTGGCTCCTCCACAAACAGTCCCCAGGCTGTGTCTAAAGGGGAGCGATGCCATTCACTGCTTGGTATAAACACACGTCGTATCGAACCAGGTAACCAGTCTCCTGGAAACTTATGAACCGGGAAAATATGGTCTAAACACTGAAGGAGGTCATGGATTTTCATTTTGGGTAAGGAGGTAGGGAGAGAAACAAGTGCATACCCAAACCAAAGGCTAAACTCATCAACAGAGGGGGAAATGGTGTGGACTGTTCGATTGCAGCTCTGGATGAATTAATCCAGAATGTCTGCCATGGCAAGAATTCATCCTCATAACCTGGATTAGAAATAGGCATTCAGCTCAAAGACGTGCTGCCAGACCTCAGCCGTCTGCACTGACCTGTCCAGGATAAAAACGAGCTAACTAAGAGCATAGTTGCTTCACGACAGCTGAAAGCTGAGCTACACAGCCAGCAGGATCATGTGGTGCAGCTCTTGCTGGACGGCAGCACTTCAGAACTTGGGAGTGTTTTGAGGACCAGATGTGGCCCTCCAGACCTCTCTGTCTGGCCCTCAAGACTCTCACTTAGCCACTCCCTTTCTCCAAGCCACATCCCCTCACTGGTCTGCCTCCGTCCCCTGCCTCAGTGCTGTTGCCTGGCTGGACTGCATCCTTGAACTGTTTTCACAATTCTTGTTTGCCTGGATGGATAATAGAGAGGTGGCTATGGTGTGTGTGTGTGTGTAGAAACCTCTGGCTTTTGCACAGCTGGAATGTAGTCCATTGTACAAAGATAAGAGTCATATCCTTTTGGCCTGTTCACTTTTGCCTCTGATCTCACGCACCATGTGGTCCTCGGAAGGCTCCCCGGTAGGAAATGTGCTCCTTGCATTGGGCAAGATCCCTTATCCCAGTTCTAGACTGTCAGCTTCCTTCTTAAAACCTGGCATCCAGAACAGGATATGGTACTCCGGATGCAGTTCTGCCTGTCTTTCTGGATCAACTTTGCAAACCTGGTTAGGAAAGAGCTGGTGTTATTTCTGCCGTGTAGCAAAAAAACTGGTAATGGGGGTGGAAAGTGCAGTTCCCGTCTCCTCTGTGAAACCGGCCCTACAAAACGGCGCATTCCATTAGGTCACTTTACACGGTATGGGTAGCCAAGGAGGACTCAGAGGCAACTGGGCTGCCTGACAAAATGCAACCTGCCCTTATCCCCCTGGCAACTGTTCCTGCCATGTTCCTAGAAGCAGCGTCGGCAACGAGAGCAACTGGGATGAATGGAAAGGTCCAGTTTCCGATAGTAATCTTTGACCGCCAAGTGTGCTTTTCCACGACGCGCCATGGATCTGATAAGGTTTTAGATTTTTGCCAGTCGGAATCTCATTAACCAAGTGAAAAAGGGCCGAACCTGAGCAATATGGCTGGAAAAGAGCGACCTGGAAACCTGAGACCACGGCCAGCTGTCTTTCTAAAGTGCTTTCCGTCGATTGGGTCCCAGGGTAATGTTTGCTTTGGCCCGCTGCTGCTCTGGGCTGCGAGAACAGCTGTTCAGATTTGCTGATGATATCACA